TCCAGCCCCCACCACACTTACCAGCACAGAGCCCGGGTCCAGCTCCCTGTGGCAGCAAGCGAGGACTGCCCGAATCATTGAATCTCTGAATCTTTCTCCAAATCTTTTCTGAATTGATTCGGAGGCTTTGAATTTGGATTTGGAGATTTGGCCATCAAATGGTTTTGGATTTGGAGATTCAGCTGCTGAATTGGGCCAAATCTCCTCCAAATTGAATCAGCACCCAAAGCTTTCCACAGCCCTAATGTGTAATATATCTTGTATATGTTTAATATATGTGTGTGTGTAATATATCTTGTGTGTGTTAAATATATGTGTGTGTGTAATATATCTTGTATCTGTTTAATATATGTGTGTGTGTGTGTGTGTCTCATATATGTGCTTTCCTGCACAGTGATGGATGACATGCTGCCAGGGAAAACACAGCTTTCTTTTTAAAAAGTGTGGGGAAAAATTAACAAGAACAAATAAGAGGATTTTGGGAGAAGAATAAGTTGAAAGGAATGGATTGGGTAGCGATAAATAGAGGGATTCTAGGCAAGTGTAATTAGTAATATGCATCCAATCCTTTCCAAGAAGAGACTAGCAAGAGACTGACTAGGAAGTCAGTACCTTTGACACACTGTTGCTTCCAGACAGACAGCTCACATAAGGGAGAGAAAGGATTCACACAGAGCCTTATATGCTGTTTCTACATCCCTCCCCTAGAGCACTTGATTGGAAGGGAACTCAGGGAAAGATTAGAGTCACTAGCCAGCTACAGATGTCAATATCAGAGCTGTCTTTCCCCCCTCCTGCCCCTCACTTCTCAGTTTCTGCTTCCCTGCAAGACCGCCTTCTGAATCACTGAATCTTTTCTGAATCTTTTCTGAATCGATTCGGATGCTTTGAATTGATTTGAAGCTTTTAATAGGTCTCCCAATTCAATTTGGATTTGATGATTCAGCTGCCAAATCAGGCAGAATCTTCTCCGAATTATCTCGGCGACTGAAGCTTCACACAGTCCTCCAAACTAGCTCTGTTGAGAACCTGAATTTGCCAAAGCACAGAGCTGTGATCATATTGTTGGATGTTTCTGGTTCAGAGATATCCAATTGCTAAATTTGTGGTCAGGAAAGTTTTGCTTCCCCTAATTTTGGTTGGTAAGAGCAGAGGGGTGTTTTGCCTTACTCTATTATATGGGGCATAGTCCTCTGCCTAGAATCTTCTGAGAATTTATTACCTGCTTCCCTGTTGTTGTAGTAGCAGGCATAGTCTCCCTGTGTCTACACAGGACATATTATGAAATGCTCTTGTACCTTGCAGTTGCATGTGAGTGTTTTGAAGTGGCAAATCTAGAAATTCATTGGGTAAAAGACTGTCTGTGAATACAGAGGATGACTTGATGGCCCAAGATGGTCCCTTTCAGTCCTATATTCCTATGTCCTAAGAGCACCGAGGAGATGGTATGGACTGGTTCTCAAAACCAAAAATTTCCTGAAATTTCTCTTAATAACATCTGTTTCATCATCTCTGGCACAGGCACTATCATGGAAGGTGTTTCTGGCTATATTGACTCTATCCTATACGCATATGCCACTAGAGCTGCCAGCTACTTGAAAAACACCACCAGTTTCTTAAAGAAATTGGGCTCCACTGACAGGCTTCCAGCAAATGACCATATTAACTACCATGGATGTCGCATCTGTGTACATCAACATTCCCCCCCAGGAAAATGGATTACAAGCTATAAAGAACATTATCCCAGACAAGAATATTGCTTCTGCTCCCATTACTCTCTCCTGCTTTGTCCTCACACATAACTATTTCAGAGTTGGGGACTCCATGTAACTACAAATGATAGGCATTGGAATGGGCACATGTATGGCCCTCATTATGCCAATGTCCATTTCTTCTGCAGCTGGCCTCTCATCCCCCTGCTATAACTCAGGTACATCAATGACATCATAATATGGGCATGTGGGAAGGAATGTCTAGAGAATTTTACTAGTACTTTAACAACTTATACCACTCCAGCAAACTAACTCTGGAATACTTCACCCAGCATGTTCATTTCCTAGACAATACAGTGAAGGTTTGCAATGGTCACATTGCCACCACATTGTATTGGAAATCAATTGATGGCTACAGCTACCGTCATCACCTGTTTTTGTCTTAAGCACACCATCAGGTCCATCTTCTACAGCCAAGCTCTACCTTACAACTGTTTCTGCTCTGATCCCACTGACAAGAAGGCACATCTTAAAATTCTGGAGCAGAGATTCCCATAATTACAATATGATTCCAAAATTATATCCACTTAAATCAACAAAGCCAGACTCAGACATTTGCTCTGACCTTCTGCAATATCAACCCCAGGACAAGGACAATAGAATCCCTTTGATTGTCACCTACATTCCCAACTTGAATACATCATGCACATCATTAATGACATCCAACCTCTCCCGGAAATGAATGACCATCTCAAGGTAGCCATGGTGGACAAACCTGTTCTGCTTTACAGACAGCCCCTCAACCTCAAAAAACATTTCTCAAGCAACAGAATAACTAACTCCATTCTCACCAAGGCACTAGGCCTTGCAATGGACCCAAATACTTGTTTTGCCCCCACATCAATACAGACCACATCATCTCTGAGCTAAATAACAAAGAGTATACCATCTGAGGTTCATTCAGCTTCAGCTTTACCAGGATAGGGACAAAAGTTACACGTAAACCAGTTTAAATAATAAGACACTGATTTAAACCTGTAACAGAGTGTAAGTTCAGCGCACATAAACTAGTTTCAAAATGGCTAAAAATGGTTTAAGATAAATCTGGTTGACTGTAGTATGAGCCTTAACTGATTTGGGTCAAACCTGTTTATTAAATGTCTGACCCATCCCCCTTCCTGGTTTAAGTTAAATCAGAGTCCCCCAGCATCCCAGCATGCTTTCCAGTCCTGGGCTGGGCTGGGCTGTGATATCTGCTTCAGCAGAGAAGCGGGCGTGGGAGGGGTGAAGGCAGGGACTGCCTCCCCACAGGCAAACCCCAGCTGGGGTCTAGGTCCAGAGCCGGGAATTAAACACCCCCTCCCCTGCTCAAACTTACTGTTGGCTGCAACTGTGGACTACAAATCCCAGAGGCACCAAGAAGCAGCCCCTGCCTGTGCCTGGAAGCAGTAAAAGTCCTACTGCTATGAGTCTGGGCTGCAAATCCCAGAGACCTCGGGGGCAGTCAGAAGTAGGTAGAGGAAGTCAACACACAGTCCATGCTGGCTATGTGTCAGAGAACCTTGCTCTAGCACCCTCCCCTTGCCCCTCCCCTCCAGCTTCTGGCCTGAGCCACTGCAGGAATGTGGCTGCATTTCCTTGAATCAAAAGGAAATGTGTGTCCAGTTGTTTCTCAGTTTAATCTCCTCAGTTTAGACTAATCTACAAAGACTGAATTGATTCAGCCTCAGGCTTTTTGGCTAGGGACAGACATTGCACATAAACTGGTTTAAGTGATCAGAAACTGGTTTAAACCTGTAACAGAACAGATGTTTAGTGTGCATAAATCAGTTTGAAAATGGCTGAAACCAGTTTGAGATAAACCTGGTTGAATGTAGTATCAGACTTAACTGATTGGGTCAACCCAGTTTATGCAATGTCTGTCCCAGACCCCTTGCTGGTTTAAGATAAATCAGACTCCCCCAGCATGCTCTCTGGGCTGGGTGGGCTGTTTGCTCCATAGCAAGGCTGACCCCTCCCCTCTGCTCCCTAGCTGGAGCTCCGACAGAGACTTGCAGGCACAGAGCATCTGCCTGGCTTCTCCCTGCTAAGCAGAAATTATTCCCCCCTACCCCTCTGCCTTATGGAGACACCTCAGTATTAATTAGCAGACCACATGCTGGCTACGGTCAGGGCTGTGGGAGACAACAAAGACAGACAGGCTTTCTGAAGCTAATGAACAGGTAGCTCACTTTTCTTCCTTGGAAAAGCTGTTTAAGAAGAGCTTGGAGAGAGGCTTTGTTTTCTTAATAGGCTGATAAAGACTGAAAGCAGACTTCCTGCCTATGACAGGGGAGCTGGTATCGATGATCTTGTGAGGTCCCTTCCAGCCCCTAATGTCTACAAAATATATTACATTTATGAGTTACAGTTGATAAACATTCCCTGCTGGGGTGCTTGGGGTGGGAGCGTGGATAATCAGAGTATCCTGCTGGGGCCATGGCCATGACCCTCAATGGCTCAGCACTATGGAATCAAAGGGAGGGCTGCTCTATTGCCCCCTCCTTCGGCCCCCCCACCCCACCCCTCGGCTTCTAGCCTGAGCCATTGTAGGCATGTGCCTGCAATTCTAGAATGAAAAAGGAATGTCTATCCACCTCCAAATCGATTCAAGCTTTGCAGGTTAGACTAACCTGGAAAGTTTGAATCAATTCAGGCTTTTTGAATGTCTGTCCCTAGCCTTTGATTGTCTGTACTTAGCTCCAATGTCATATACACCATCATCTTCTTACAGTGCCCCTCTGCTATCTCAATCAGGCAGATGGGGCAATCTCTATGTGTAAAAATGAATGAACACCAATCTGATAAGAGTTTCAAAATGATACAGAAGCCAGTGGCACAACACTTTAACCTCCCTGGACATTCTATTGCTGGTCTCAGGACTGCTGTTCTCGGGCAGCAACATTTCAAAAACTAGTTTGACCTGGAAATTGCAAATCAAGAAATCACACAGACTGGATTATGTTAAGTACGATTTAAACAGGGACTATAGATGCTTATCATAGAATCATAAAATCATAGAAGTAGGGTCAGAAGGGAC